GTTGTGTGTGTGTGTGTGTGTGTGTGTGTGTGTGTGTGTGTGTGTGTGTGTGTGTGTGTGTGTGTGTGTGTGATTTTACTAGAGGCAATTTAAAACTAACTAACAAACAAATGAACGGTAATTTGGTTTGATTGTAATTGTATGTCCTTTGCTGCTGATGGTTAGATATTTCCATTTGAAAGATAGTTTTCTCCTTTGGAGATCAACTTCTTTTTCAATGTTATTCAGCAGTTATTTTTAATGGTCCAAGAATCTCTCTGAGAGGCTCTTGGTACTATTCCTGGGGCACCTGGAAGGGCCCAGCACTATCACTGGGGCTCCTGGCAGACAGTCATTTATCTGTTAAACATGGTGCTTCACACAGGGAAGTATAATCCTTTTATAGAATCATAGACATTAGAAGCAGTTATCTAGTCTCCCTGCCACTGCAGGATTGTTCCTACATTATATATACATGGAAATTATTGTAATGTTACTTGCCTGCAAGATAGATTTGCATTAGAGAAGCTATAAGGGAGGAAGCCTTTTCCTTCTCACCACTCCAGAGTTTTAGGCTATTCTTCTCCCCACCCCCACCCCCCGAGCCCTACAGTGCTCATGTTACAGAAGCCATCCTTGATTAGTTTTTGTCTAAAACCAGTCAATGCTGCAACCATTATGGTCAGAGGGTTCGCTCCAGAAGGATCTGATCTTGCTCCCATTAGAGTCAGTGGCGAAACATCCATTAACTTCAATGGACAAATCCTGCTCCTGCGGCAAAATGGTGGTGGGCTGTGCAGGGTTTGTGCAGCAGAGAGCTCTGCCTTCAGGGACTCCTCGTGTAGTATGTCTGAGATACTGATGGCAAGGGAAGTGGTGCTGCTGGGCCACTTGGATCTTCCTAGCCTCTAGAAGGGAATGACACAAGGAGCTGCAGTGTCTCTTCCAGTCTTTAGGTGGCAATAACTTACATGGCAAGGGTAGGCGGATTCTGCTAAGTGCCCAGTTTGGCTAATCAAGCTGAGCGCTGTGCTTGGGATTTGCCCACTCGTCTGTTGTCTCCTCAATGCCCCCAGCCCCTCTGGGTTTGGGAAGAAACGCTTCTTCAAACAAATATTTTGTAAAAATTTCAAGAAAATGTATGGAAAAACAATTGAAAATGAATGCATACAAGATCATCTGCTACAATATTTTCTCATAGCATGAATGTACCGCTTAAAGCTTACTAGCTGTGTTATTTAAGATCTATATATAATATATACATTATGTTTTTTTATAAAGATATAGTAAGATCTGGATGAGAACTAATAAGGGATTTGGTATTAAAACAGTGATATAGGAGGTTGTAAATGACTGGAAAATTCATTTCACACAGAAATCTATTATATTGAAATTGATTAGAATAGCATATCTAATAAATGATTATTATTAACTATTTTTTGTGGGCATATGTTCTAATTCAGGTTCTCTCGTTTGCTGTTGTTTACATGCTCCAAACATTATTTTCTAGACACAAGTAGATGCATGAGCTATTTTCTTCTCCCTATACCATTCTATACCATAGGCACATTTCTTATCCTTTTTTCATACTGATGCTCACTTTACTGAATAATGTCTGTCTTTTCTTTACTAGAAAAATCTTCTAAAACAGTAGTGCAATTAGATAGTAATTGCCAATAAAGCCATATTGCTTTGAAATCTGTAAATATCCTGCAGATGTGGTTTATTGTAATGTTAAACAAAAAGACTCATCAGGAACAAGCTATACAAAACTTGCTGCTATGCTAACTTGGTGAAGCAAGCAGCAAACCCAAGATCACAGACCACGTGTCAACAAGAAAAATGCTAATGATCAAATTGAATCTGTTAGGAGATGCTTCTAGGACATTTGATAAATAAAACAGAAAAAAAGAAGAAGCAAAATAGACTGCAAAGAGGCTTGCTCTTTTGAAATGTACTGTAGCACTTTTCAGTTGAGATTCTTAAAGTGCTGTACACAGAGGCCTATTATCATCCTCATTTTAGTGATGAAAAATTCAGGTACTGAAAGGTCAAGGCCTAAATTGTAAGAAGTGTCTGTAAAGTTTGGGTTCCCAACATCAGGAATCTCTGGCTTGATTTTCAGAGGTGCTGAGTACCCTTAGTACTCAGGGCCAGATTTTTAAAGCTATTTAGGTACCTAAAAATGCAGATAGGCACCTAGTGGGATTTTCAAAAGTGTGTTGGTGCCCCGTTCCCAGTGGCTGTTAGGCACCTATGCATTTTTGAAAATCCCACTAGGTATCTATCTTTAGGTGCCTAAATACCTTTAAATACCCCACTGACTTTCAGCTGGGATTCTGGTTGCTCAATACAGCTGATAATCAGGTGCCAGGTGTCTCAAATTGGTCCCACAAAAATGGAGGCTCCCAAAATCAGTGGTCACTTTTGAAAATGTAGGTCTTAGCGACTGGCCCACGATCATAAATAGAAGTACATATAGAACCCAAATCTCCTGACTCTCAGTTCCTGCTCTAACACTGCTCCAACACGCAACAGTGCATTATAATGTTCCAATTAAAAAGGATAGTGGGACATACAAGTACACATCAGCAGGCTAAGCGAATTTATTTTATAAAGCAATATAATTATGGGGGTGGAGTTATAAGAAGAAATAAAAAGAAATGCTGCAAAACTAAGCAGGTGTCTTAGTGGAGCTTTGCTAGGACACAGCTGGGAAACTTCAGGGTACTGGTACTGTTTGCTAACTTTTCTCTTTTAATCAGTAATGAGGCTTATTAGGAATATAAAATTATGAGCAAGCGTAAATTGGGGTTTGTGAAAAGACAGTAGATAAACTTGAATGACGTATTTTGAAATTATGTATAAAAATAAAGTTCTCAAGTAAGTGTAGAGAATGTGGGGGGAAGGAAAAAAAACCTTAAATCAATCTCTTGAACTTTTTAGTCAAAACCAGAGTGGGATGATAGTGTCTTTAACTACTATGGTATGTAGGAGTCCTGCCAGAAGTTTACTTTGGTCTCTACAACTTGGCAGAGAATTGTGAAGCTTGTAAATGGTATGGGCCTATACTATAACTTCTCTTTGCACAGCTAAAGACAGCAGTCAGCTGTGGATGAAGTCATTCTTGCTATGCAAGTCATCTTGTTTTGATTTAATGCTGAGTGCTGCTGCTTCATTCTATGTCTGTTATTTAGCTGTCACCCGTAAACATCATTTTAAAACAACTGTGTCACTTAGCCATCAGAACTCACTGGATAGAATGCAAACAGACTTACTGGGTTACAGCCCCATACCATTGGGTAAACTCAGAAATTAAAGAAACGAAAACAAACGTTAGCAACATTAAAACAAGTTTTCATTTTGGACCACACACAAAAAAAGGCATTTCTCTGTTTCAGGCTGAGATTTTCCTTTGATATTTCAGATCTTAGTAACCTATCTTTTTAAAAAGCAGGACTTCTGATCTGCTCCATATAAGAAAGAAGAAAATCAGGCCCATAATTTCTGATTGGGAGATATATAGTTGCTCTATTGGAATACAGTTCAAAATTTTGCAGCTTTATATTTAATTCAATTAACACATTTTATTTTAATAACCCTGTATATATACTTTTTTAAATGAATGAATTTGTAATTTTTACAAGAATGTGTTTGCATATTGACTGTAAGAGTCATGATATAAAAATGCTCTAAATCGGGAATCTTTGCTAGTCTAAAATCATAAAAGGTAAAAAAAATTGTTTTGGCTTTCTAATAGCTACAGTTCATAGTATCTACACAGCTTTATATGCAGTTGCAAAGGTGGGGAGAGAGTTAATAAGTCACAGTGAGTTTTTTTGCTTCTACTTGGTCCAAAATAATGAGAATGTTTTTTCCAGCAGAAGACCAATATACCCATTCCAAATCATTGCCATTTTTCTTCCTTTGTCAAATTAACACATTTTCCCAATAAAATGCCAAAAGGCAATTCGTTTTCTGCCAGTTTATGGAAGTTGTTTTGTAGTGGACAACAGAATCTATGTTTTAAGTCATTTAATCAGAATGTATATTAGATATCGGACAGGCAGAATAGCTTCTAATGCATCCTGGATGGCCAGTAAAGTGACTTCAGTGGAATAAAAGGGTCTATTGACTTTATGGTGTCATTATTCAGATATGGAACCCTGAAGAACTTAATGCAATCTAACACAGAGAATTTGAATTTGTTTGATTGCTCGCTCCAAAAATCAGTCCTAAGAAAATGCCCTTCTCAGTGCAAGACAAAATTGAGCTTTGGTAACACCAAACATGTCCCCTTTAAGACAACATAACAATTTAGAAAGGAAAACTAATTGACGGTATGTGT